GAACACAGTTGACATTGCCCTTGGGAATGAAAATGCTCGTGCCGTAGAATCAGAATGAGGATGTCCCGTCGCTGACGATCTCAGCTAGCATCATCCCTGCTGAATATATAATAGGGACTCAGATGAATGCTTTCGAGTGACTAGTAGGCAAAATTGAAATTCTCGTCACCATAATAAACGAAATTCAACAGAATGGAAAGAGGACAAGGGTTATCCACCAATCCATGAGAGATATGATCGACTCGATTAAACTCCTGTATGGAATGGCGGAACGCAATAGACGACTTGCCGCAGCGAAGGACGCTAAAACTATGAACAATTCCTCGCAGACCTCCATAATGACGAACCCCTCCAGCATGCCGAGCTATTCGTAACGGCGAATCCACTATCAGAAGCTTCAACTTGGAAAGTGGTCAGGAAGAAGAAGAAAATATCGAGGGTAAGATGAGATTCTTACATCGAACAGAGGGGACAAATCGTTGAAAATTCTTAGCGAAAGCGTGTCCCAAATAAGATGAACATCCAGAAATGAGTTACTTCTCGAACTAAAGAGGATTCAAGAGAGTAGCGAAGTAGAGCTACAGGTAGCAGTAAGTAAGGTGACAGTAAGGCAGTGAAAGTAAAGGCGAAAACTCACACGCGAACCATCGTCATTCGTGATCTAAATGAGATCGCCTCAGAGTCGCCGCTCGAAAACAATTGCTCCCGGTAGCAGAAGCAACTGTGCGGCTGAGAGCTGCGAAAATCTGCATCGGATGGTCCAACTGCCGTATTATGGAGTATTTGAAGCCACGAGGGTGTCCAAAATGCTGAAGATTCGACCACGAGTTGCAGGCCTGCACGTCGAGAGTCGATCTCAGAAAACATTGCAGGAAGTGCGGTAAGGAGGATCATTTTGCAGAATCGTGCATAAATACACCGAAGTGTGCACTCTGTAATGGTGATCATGTAGCAGCAGCAATCGCTGTCCAAAGTTTAGGAAGGCGGTTGGCATTCTCAGAAAATGAAAGTCGTCCAGCTAAACTTGAGTCATTGTATAGCAGCGCGGAATCTGGTAAGCCAGAAGATCTTTACGCAGAGTATTGACTTGGTAATACTGTGTCAGCAGCATCAAATCGTGACAACCGGTTCGTAGATTGTGTATGCAACTCGGAAGACGGCATTATGATTGGTCACCGGCAAGACCTTCCAGTCAACCATCGCAGCCCCTAGCAATCATTTCACATGGACGAAGGTAGAAGGAATGTTCATCTGCTTCTGATACGTGTCTCGTAGCTTAGACATAAATGAATTTGATAGGCTTTTGGCTGTCATCGCAGACACCGCAAAATCGAAATCACCGATCACCATTGCAAGCAACTTAAATGCGTGGTCTATCGATCCAGGATTCATTGACACCCCGAATCACCTGGTCAGTAGGCAACATCTACTCGAACAGTAATTACCGGATGTTCGTGAACCAAATACACAGTACATTGGGAATTCACCTTTTTGAACATTTGTTCAAAAAAAGCGGAATGCATTGAAACACCACCCTTTTGTAGAGACTCTTTTTGCTTGGTTGTTATTCGTAGTAGTTCGGTGTGTGCACGTGGGTTAATTTATTTGTTACAATTGTAAAACTTGAAAATTAAATAAAATGTATTCTTAATCATTTAATATTAAATTGAAAGTTAAATAAAGTATTCTTAATCACCGGACGATTCAGTTCGAGATAGACACACAGCTACGAATAGACTGACTAGAACATTAGGTTTTTTGTGAAATGCTTATATCGATCGTCTAAGGGCAAATTGCATTAAAGCACGCAGGCGGGTGTACCGCTTGCGGGATGAAGCTCTTTGGCAGCAACACCAAACGGACTTTACAGAAGCGAAACAGAAACCAAGGAAGACCATCAAGCAATGCAAATCTCGCTTGTTCAAGGACCTTTGAAGGGAACCAGACGCCGACCCATTTGGAAAAGCATACAAGGCAGCTATGAGCACGATAAGAGAAGTCAGGTCACCATAATCGACTGACCCAGGGTTGTTGCGAGATATCTTATCAACCCTATTTCCGTGCGTTGAAGACAGAACAAACTTCCATAATGTCAACTGTTTTGATGTGTAATAGTAATAACAAGTGACGTCCAAAAAGATTTGACAAAAAATTCTGATGTGTATAGGGCCTTTTACACAGTATCGTCCGCTGTCCATTGATGTCGTCGCCTGACATTACACAACAAATTTTTCGACAATTTTTTAAACACCCTTCCCCTACAAACAATGCAAACATTGTGTACTCATCAGTATTCAAGCAATCGCTGAATTGTCAATAGCGACTGTTCATGAAAACAGTGTTTTGACAAAATAAAATATGGATTTTGTATTTTCTTAAACAATATCTTTTCTGATAAATTATATATTTATGTTATGAATATAAAAAAAATGAAAAAAAAAAACACAATAATAGGCCTCTTCTTTTGTAAGCATATCACAAAAGAACAACTGCTTATTTTAAAAATGACATATGAAACAACAACAGTGCTGGCTTATTTAGTCGAACCTTTTTGAAACCGCTTAACTAATAAGCAGTTCAAATCGCATGGTTGCTAAGCCTAAAAATTCGTCTACTGGGAACTATTCTTGAAATTTCCAGTTATCAGTCACAAATACGTTAAATACGTTATTTTTTCTATATATTATTTTACAGTTAAAAGGCACTTAAAATTATATTTTATTCAAAATCATGTAAAAAAAATATTCGCATCAATAATTGCAAAGAATTATTATTATTTATTATCGAAATATAAACATTAAATTTTATTACGTGTTTTGCACATATAAGCCCAACAAAATCTCCATTTTGTCCAGAGTTACCATTGAAAGAAGTGCTTATTCTATTTAATTTACCTTTAAATAGAGATCCTTCATGTTTTCCTTTAGGTATACAATGTACCAAGTACTATAAATTCGATATTCTGGATTGGTGCTTCAAACCTTTAAAGTTTTCTCCAAATGCCAAGTACCGTATGGCCAAGAAATCCGTAAGGTTTAGGAGCAACTATAAACTGCGGTTTATACCTAGAAGTTTATTGCTTATAAAATTAAACGGTTCTCTATGTACATATTCTATTTGGGCTCATGGTTCTGTAGCATACGATCTCTTTTTACGAAACTTTTTAACAAAATTTATACTCTTTTCAATTGTCTTCGAATGCTCGTCTTGCCAAAAAATAACGCTTTTAAATTATTTAGCATTAAATTATATATATCAAAATCTAAATTATCACAATAAGACTTAATAAAATTTTATACAATGTTACTTAATAGTATTCTAATAATGCAACACTGAATGTTATTTACCATTGTTTAACAAGAAAGAAAAAATAACGTCAGTGTGACAATTGCTGTGTCAATGAATTCTTTTTGCAAATTTGTTTCTTTATAAAATTAATTATTAAATATTACGTACGATACTATAAGTCTTTAATAATATATGTATAAAAACATATATATAATATAAAGCTAATATACAACACTTAATGCACAACAGCTACTGCTTTTTATTTTATATAGAATAACTAACGGTGGACGACTAAATAATTCTTCAAGCGCGGAGTAAGTTGAATAATCATATTATATATTATCAGTTACCAAATAAGCATATTATCAGTTATATTACCAAAAAAAAAGTTTAATTCTAATTAATTCGCAATCTTATTCCCAGACTGACAACAAATTTCAACAAATTTGATACATGAAGAACTTTCTACATACCGAAGATATACTCGTAATTAACCATCGAATATATAGGTATACAAATACAGTTTTGTATAAATTTGTCACCTTCAAAGGCAAGACGACTAATATTGGTTTAGATAATTACCAATATATTTCTAACTATTTAGACTATTTTAAAAAAACTCAATAAGATAACTTCTTGACATAGTAGCAAAATAATATGGACATTCATTGTTACTTTTACCCACTTATCAAAACCTTAAGACGGTTATTTTTAACATGTATCTAAAATTTTTACAAATCATTTTGCATCTTTGAGTAATATGTTGACATAGTTTTATATACGTCTGCATTCTTTACGTGAGCGTTGAGATATATTTAATTGCTTAAGAACGCAAGAGCAAAGTTACATTTATGGACGGCTTTTAAGCATCCAAAAAATGTTAGCGTGCTATTGGTTATCTCATTTTTTCGTATTTGGATCTGGAAGACTTCAATGACAGCTGTGAATCTCTTTAAAAAAAACTACAAAATCGACTACAAAAAATTATACTCCAACAAAACTTTTCCTTTTAAAGCCTTTGGTACACATGTTTTACCGACATCTACTCTAATAATCAGCCGTGTAGTAAGATCAGTGATTTCCTTGCCAAGCAAAATTTCACTAAGATTGCATTGAAGGCTCAAAATAATTTTTCAGTCTTCAATAAATGAACATTTGTTAAAAAAAGCAATGACTCACAGTGGTCTATTAGATCTGCAGCGCTAAGTAACAAATTGACAAGAAATTTTCTCAAGTTTCATTGTAAATAGATCGCTTACTCATACTATATCATGGAGAAGTTTTACAAAACTAGATATCCATAATTAAACTTGCTAATGGTTGTCTGCACTGCTAGTGTAAATACCATAAAGCGAGTAAATCAGTAAAAAAAACAATACTCAATGTGAAATGGATGAACGAAAAGAGGGACAGTATTTAATAGAGAAGGACTAAAAACTTTTTTGCAAAAATTTTAAATGAAAACTACATTTCCCAATTTTCTTTTTTCAATTATTTAAATTTAAATATTATTATTCCAGTTCTTTTACGAAAATGCTGTTGACTTTTAAAGTACAAAAACAAATTCTTAGTAAAAAATAACGACTACTGAATAATCGGTTACCGAGTTACCGAGTTTATTCTGAATACAAATGTCAAAATATATACAAATGTCATAAAAAAGTTTTAAGTTTTTATAAGAAAATCATATTATTTGTCACATCAATTTTGTTTGTGCTTGAGAAACATATTTTATTTTAAAATCAAAAAAAAAGTCGAAAAGATATTTATATATAAAAGATATAAAAGATTTGCGTAATCATTTGCAAGGTAATTTATGGTATATAGAAGTATAAGCTATTGAAACAATCTTATGGATATATAATGCAACTTTTATTAGCTTATCTTTGTAGATATTTACTCACTTCACGTAAGACGTTCAAACCAGTGCTCATAACTTTTTAAAAGCGGAAAGGAAACAGATTTTATTGTGTCCGAACTTCTAATAACGCAGGTGAGAATAACTTTATTTGCTCTAAATATTATTAAAATATTGATCAATAACTTTTTTTCGACAACTTTTAATTATTAAGATACTTCAGGTTACCGACAATATTAGCCACCATTAAATTTAATTATAAAATAGTTCAACGTTGATAAGCTTTTATAGGGTTTAAAATGTCTATTTTGAATACGACACAAACAATGAAACAATGAAATAGTGTTAATAATCTCTGTAGTTTTTTCAGGAATGTCTATACGGGAGCAAAAGCACTCTTTCGTTTGATAAAAAAATAGTTTTCCGCAAAAATCATTTTGAGTTCTTAGGTAGCTAAATTTGGTCAATAAGGTGGTTCTTTCAACAATTCACAGTTCATTTTGAAAGACATTAGCGATGAAATTTGGCGCTGCTTTAGATTACTGTAGGAGTCAGTCCTATTGACCAACTGACTTAGACCCAACGGTCTTTTGTGATGTCACTACTTAAGACGGGATCTCAAATGCTAGTTAATTATGGAACTGTGTCACGATTTTAATAAAACACATCAGTTTTTTAAATTTTATTTATGGATACTTATGTAAAATAAAAACATAATTGCCTAAGAAGTTTACCTTGCTATTAACTAACGCTAGGCTGCCATCAGAGATTCTTCTGTAAATCGGTTGTTTTTAGGAATTTATGTAACAAGTTTGTACAAAAAGCTGCAACAATAACCTCAGCTTATTGTTGTACCAGTTTTGAGTTAATTTACTAAATAAATTGATTTTGTGTCCCAGGAAACTTTTGGAAACATCGATTTCTGAACACTACATAGGTTCTTGTCTTGGTTCAAAAACATCGTGCTAAATTCAAGTCAAGTCTGTATCTCGCAGAAAATTGTCCAAAGTTTGCTGACAAAGTCTCAAAGTCAAACATATTTTTGTTGCGCATTCGAATATCGCACTCAAAACCTTAAATCATTGATCTAATTCAATTCCTAGCGCTTTTAAAACCAACACCGACCTGTATCGGTCAATTGACGATCTTTCAAAACCAAATCCAGTATTTTTGCGACAACTTTTACGGTCACAAATCAAGACAACTTGTAGACTAATGTTTTTGAAGGAGTAAATTCCTCTAACACATATCCATTCCCATTACATATTTTGTTAAAAAAATACCCTGTACGCAAAGTATAAACTATTCGGACAATGAAAATTTGTCTTTGAAGTTCTGATATATTGATTGCTCCGTGAACTTCATGATGACTAATATAATGTTTTCACTGCAGCTAAAACTACTTATGTTAATAAAATTAAGATTTGGTCGTTTTCATTGGCATAAGTTGATTTATGTATATGATATAGCTTGTGTTTTTACACTCTAAACATATTAACATAAGACGAATATTCCAAATTTTAGAAATTTCCCTTATGGTACATGGAAACATGGTATTAGGCAACATAATAATCTGATTATTTAACGTTTGGGCGAATTTTATAGATTGACTTTTGATTCGATTGGAGTCACAATATTAGCATTAGCATTAAACCTATTTTAAAAGTGATGCCAATTTGTTTCAACTAGACTTAATGCTGTGTTTTCACAACTCTAAAAGAAAAAATTACGGCTATTATTATAATTAACACACATAATTGGTTGAACAATGGTGTGTGAAGTAAAACTCTCCACTAAACCTTTTTCTTCTTCTTAAACTATCTTCGTAATTTTGAAGTTAAATCTTCAATACTAAAAATTTTTCTTTTATAATAATTAAACTAATCATAAAAGGAAACATTTAACTTTTAACATTCAACTCTACATCATTTTACATTAAACTACAATCTATACAACAGTCAAAAAACGTTTCACGATATGGTATTTACTATCGCTGTATAAAGCTCTCTTGATCTCGCAGAGCGTATCAATTCGCAAATACTTCGAAGTCCTGTCCAGCTGCGGATATTCCTTAATCATGAGAGTCGTTTCCGCCCAATCACTCTGCGACCTTCTATACGGCCTTAAAGTATAAGCTGCAGTACTTCATATTTGGATGCACGTATTATGTATTCCAAGTATGCTATTTTTCTTTTTGTTATGACTTTTAGCAATTCTTTCTCTTCCTGCATTCTTCTGAGCACTTCTTCATTGGTGACTCTATCAGACCAACGTGTTTTGAATAGACGGCGATAACACCATAATTCGAAAACCTTCAATTTATTCATTGCAGTTGTTTGTAGAGTCCAACTTTCTATTCCACAGAGTAAGACTGACCATACGTAACATTTCATATATCTCATTCTAAGCAGTAGAAGTATCACAGTTTAGTTAAGGTGAAGTTTAAAGAGACCATCTCCTAACATTTATATGCGTCGATAAGGAAAATTCTTAACTATTAAAATTCCATAAATACATCTCTATAGATGAATAATTTGTATTCTGCAATCGAGGTTTCACTTGTGTGTGTTACTTTCATGCGTAAATTCTTCAATCTCATTCAAGTACGTTTTTTTTCATTCCAATCATTTCTATAAAGTATATACATTATCCAACAAAAATATTCGTGAAAATGTTTACGATTATAATGTCATAAAGCCAAAAGTAGTAAAAGCATGGAGGAATGACATTTTTTGGCACATTTGCACGCGTTGATGCATTTTCCAGTTCATAAAGATAAGAAAAACACTAAACATAAGAAAAATTATTACTTGCAAAAGTTTTTGGCTTTAAATTAAAATAAAAATTACATACAGAAAGAAGTAAGCTATAATTTTAGTAAGCACCTACAAGTACATGAATATATGGCATTGCAGTCAAAAGACATATTAGGCAGAGGGCGTTAGGAAGCATTGAACAGCACAATTTCCTTCTTCGACATGAAAACTGCATTTGCGCACTCTATTATGAATGGAATATGGCTCTTTAACAGGCCATTTCTAGGGGCTTCATTTGTCGTAAAATGTATGCAAACGCCTGTATGAATGAGACTCACGGTTAGGTGTAATAAAACTTTCTGCGTTATATTGTTGAACATACAATAAAAGACTAACAAGAAATATGTACAGTAAATGATAAAATATATAAAATAAGTAGAATTGAGGTCAACTTCTCAGCAATCTAAAAACATATAGATTTTGATTCTGATGTCCATTTTCATATCAGTAGATGAGACCCAAACAATTTTACCAAACAAAACAAACGAATCTTCATCTTTGGCGCCTGTAGTCTATCTCAAGCTATAAAAATCTATCAGCTAGATTTAATGAATGTCCTAAAACTGCTTTTGATTTCGTTCTTCGGCAAAAGAGATAGTTTTGCATTAGTCATCAAGCAATCAAACCATTAACTGCTCTGGTAGGGAAGTCTTATTAACACAAATCACCTACCAGATATCAGCAATATCAGCGCTTTCAAAGTTTTTATTTTTCTTGTAGCAAGTATTTCTGTTATGTTATTGTTTACTTTATTTTAAGGATGCATATATACAATGCATCCTTTTTTTTGCTGACATACTGGAGGTATGAACAACTTTTTTGGATTCGGTATCATAAAAACACCGAAAACAAAATTTAAGTAACATTTTTCAGATTAATAAAAATGTTTGAATGAAGTCTGTTAAAATGTCGTACGCTACTAATATAGGATATTTAAGGTACTCATGTTTTCTTATGACTTAAAAAAATTGCTTCTTTTTACGATACTACATCTTCCAAAATTTAATCACATCATAAGAAACGGACAAAATTGCTACATATTTCCCAACCCTCAAGTATTGAAAGATTGGCTAAAGTAACACATATAACACTTCGTTCAATAATGTGTGTGACTGACACATAGATGGCGGCACTAATACTAAATAAATATTGTTTTTCGAAAGTGGCAACCTTTTTAGGCTTACTGTCAAAATCATATGTTAATCCAACCATTTGTTTACAAGTTACAGTGCTTTAAGTGACGCTACTTTTGAGTTTTCAAAAAAAAATGAATTCAGAGCAATTCCGTGTGCTGATTTATCATTGTTTTTTAATGAAAAAAAATACTGTTCAATGCCAGGAATGGCTTGAAAAACATTATTCGGACTCTGCTCCATCAAAAAGAAGCATTTGTTATTGGTATGCCGAATTCAAACGTGGTCGTACAAACACCGATGACATTCCATCTACTGGACGGCCAAATGACGCTGTTATTCCGGAAAACGTTGAAAAAACACTGAAAATCATTATGTCCGACCGTAAAGTGAAAGTGAGGGAGATTGCTGACATTCTACAGATATCAGCAGACAGTGTACACACCATAATACACGAACATTGGGTATGAAAAAGGTGTTTTACAAATGGGTGCCGCGTTTGCTCACACCGGAGCAAAAACAATAACGAATCGATGATTCAAAGAGCTGTTTGGACATGTTTACGCGCAATAAGTCGGAGTTTTTGCGTCGGTACATCACGATGGATGAAACATGGATCCACCATTTTACTCCAGAGTCAAATCGGCAGTCTGGTGAGTGGCATGCAGCCGGTGAAAGCCGCCCAAGGTTATGGCGTCTGTATTTTGGGATGCGCATGGAATAATATTCATCGACTATCTCCAGAAGGGGAAGACCATCAACAGCGACTATTATATAGCGTTATTGGAGCGTTTGAAAGCCGAAATCGCAAAGAATCGGCCTCATACGACGAAGAAAACAGTTTTGTTCCACCAAGACAATGCACCGTGTCACAAGTCGATGAAAACAATGTCAAAATTGAACGAATTGAGCTACGAATTGCTGCCGCACCCACCGTATTCTCCAGATCTGGCCCCCAGCGACTACTGGCTCTTCGCAGACCTCAAAAAGATGCTCCGTGGTAAGAGATTTGGCTCAAATAATGAAGTAATCGCCGAAACTAACGCCTATTTTGAAGGCAAAAAAATCGTTTTACAAAGGCGGTATCGAAAGATTGGAAAAGCGTTGAAATGATTGTATCTCCCTAAAAAGGAACTATGTTGATGAATAAAATCGAATTTTGGCAAAAAAATGTGTTTTAATTAGTTAGTCACACACATTATTGAACGAAGTTTTATTTGATAAAAATCTGCTGGGTTGCATTGAAACCACCAAACAATGCTACAGCTTGGTAAAAGAGTAAGGTGTAAAGTTGTTAGTTCCAATTAGAGAAATGGTGCGACTCGTAAAGAATGTAATTGGGTGTCCCTTTTTTTCTGTAAAAAGAGATGATTTTCATCTCCACAGACAGCTACATATTTTTAAAATGAAATTGCGGGTTGTGCTTTAAAGTTTCTCTTTAAAGAAGCTTTATTGAGCTGAGCTATCAGTTTACGAGTATAATCAAATGAACGGACCTTCTTTTACTTGCTATATTACTTCAATAGCACCATCTTTCGGTACTTATTTAGGAATTAGTATTCCACAACAACGCTCAAGTCCACAGAATTGTGTGGCTGAACCAGTTATTACGATTTTATCTGCGGATTCAATGCAACATGTTCAAGCATATAACAAAGTTCTATTATATATCTGATTACTAGTAGCTGCAACGTGTAGCAGATATTTGTCAGAAACAGGATTATTTGCCAGCGGAACAATGCCTTAATTGTTTCTCGCTGTATAAATAAAGATATTTATCCTCTGCGGATATAACTCAATTGAGTCGATCTTCGCTTCAAGATAGGGGGCCATACACAACAGTGTCGGTATTACTTTGGTGATAAGTTTAATGACTTCTGCCTCTTGATTAGTTTTGAAAGCACCAATATGTCATACGATTACCTTTAGTTTCAGTTTATTTTCTTGCATGCTTTTTATTAGAAAGTGCCACAACTGTACAATTTTACTTGTTAAAAATTCTATACTTGTTTATAATAACTTCAAATATTTAAAAAAAATATTCCAACTTCAAATTTGTTCATAATTTAATCAAACAAATTTTATCTTGTTCTTATTCCACAATTTTAGATTTGTAAAGATGAGTCCTGTCAAAAAGCAATGTCTGACATTTACTAAACCTCAACCAGTTTGGAATACTGCTGATGATGGTAAGTCAAAAACAGAATTAACAGTCTTTCAATATTATTATTATTATAAAAAAATCCACTACAATATGTAGTGGGTCTTTAAGAATGCTATGGAATCCAATTGCCTGTTCTCTAACCTCTTTTGTTTATCTATATTAATATGTTTGTAAATATTAATTTGCTATTTATATAAGTTATATACAATGTAGGTCAAATGTCACGGTATCATAGTTAAATGATGTTATCCAACATTTTATAATTGTGAATGATGCGATTTTAAATCAACTACTACTATTTGCTTTGGAACCGAAAAAATCAATTTTTGTGTGGTTTTCGGCCCAATATGTTGCCACTCTTCAGCAGTGGCACCTTCAGTTCTGCCTTTGTTGTTATATATTCTATATTTATATATTCTATATTTGAACAAGCAAGGCAAATATTATACGGAGATTGGAGAAAGGATGGATAGAATGCGCAATACCATTGGAAGCATTGTACAGCCTTTCAAGGGGACGATATCGTTGCAATGTGCAAAGCACACAGGCCGACCCAAAGCCATAACCGACCGTGAATGCAACATAATAGAAAGAAAGGAGAAGGTCAATCTAAAAATTTCTTCAACCCAAATTGCAGCTGAAGTTAAGCGAGAGTTTGGCAAGGAAATTCATTCCATAACGGTCAGGAGGACACTGCAAGAGGCTAGTTACAACTGTGGTGCCACTAGACTAAAACCGTTAGTTTCGAAAGTCAACCAACAGATGTTTTAGCCTATGCAAAGGCGTACTAAAGCAAGTCAATCGACTTTTGCAACAATGTACTCCTCTAGGATGAAAGAAAATTTAAGACCTTTTGATCTAATGGCCGCCAAATGGTTTGGAGAAAACCAAACACCGCAAAAAGAAAATCTTGCTATATCTGTAAAACATGGTGGTGGAGGAGTATTTCAATGGGGCTGCATATTCACTGCAGGGGTCAGCGAATTTGAATTCATTGACGGCATTATGGACAAAAATTATTTTTTAGACAACCTCAAGAGAAACGTCAAAAATGTGCCGTAAACTTGAGTTTATCTACCACATTCAGCTTCCAACATGATAATGACCCAAAACATACGGCTTATAATGTACGTATGTGGCTGGTTCATCATGTAAAACATACATTGACGCATCCACCTCAATTTCCAGATCTCTACTCCATTGAACATTTGTGGGAAGAATTGGATAGATGTACAAAGAAGCCCATGATAACAACAAAGGCAGAACTGAAGGTGGTACTGCTGAAGAGTGGCAACATATTGGGCCGAAAACTACGCAAAAATTGATTTTTTCGGTTCCAAAGCAAATAGTAGTAGTTGATTAAAAATCGCATCATTAACAGGATAAAAATAGTGCTAAAGTTCAATTTGCTTGCTGTGCCAATAATTATGTTCGGCACTGTATAAAAATAAAAATGTCATGTCATAAATGTATTCATTATATTGATAAATATAATGAGTAAATGTTAAATAAAAATCCAATGTTTTTGTCAATAATTTTTTGGATTAAAGAATTTTCCCATTACCATATTCACACATTTTCTAATCGAGAAGAGATTCCTTGTCTTAGAAAATAAAATCTTATTCTTATACAAGATCAGCTATATTTTATTTTATTGATTTTATTTTAATTGTTTTATTTAATATGACTAATCATCTACCTTTGTTAGTTCAAAAGATAGTAACAGCATTGCAGAATGAATCTGTTGTCAATCGTATTATACTTGATATGAATTCACTGGCTCCTTCTGCTACACTAGCTATTACTAAAGGGTTGCAGCTTCATAGTGAACTACGCGAAATTGTCTTGGATAATGTGTTCCAAGGACGACTAGCGTCGGAAATAGCGGAAAGTCTAAAAATTATTACGAATTGCCTGACTGGTAGTCATATAAGATTGACTGTTTTAGACTTTCGGAATAGTACCTTTGGCCGCTTAGGCTTCCTCAATGTAGTAAAACTGATACAATCTGCTGCTTGCAAACATTTAAGGGTACTTAATTTGGAAGCCTGCCAACTAAGTTGTGAGGAAATGCATCTCTTACATAATTTCCCCACAAAACTTAAGGTTTTAGGTCTTGGACATAATCAAATAGGAGATGTTGGGGCAAAAGTTCTTTGTGGAACATTGAACGAGCTGACTGTGTTAGAAGAGCTGGATTTATCTAATAACAGCTTTTTTACTAGTGGTTATGTGGCTATTAAGAAGTATCTGTTGAATGCGCATCGTCTGCACAAAATAAACTTCTCGTACAATTCTATTTCTTTTGATTCGTCAGAAGCCCTAGCGAAAGCCTTTGAGAACGTTGATTACAAGTAAGTTTTATAGTATTCTAGAGCCTTTTACCTTCTGAATTGGTTATTCATTATCGTCTTTATTTTCAGTTTACGCGTACTAATATTAAAACACTGTTATATGGACGGTACGATGGCTATACATATATGTACTGCTTTGAATAAGTACAAAAGTTTGGAGCAGATGGACTTAAGCTACAACCAGATTGATTGTAATTCGACGCTGTGGTTGTTAAAGTTTTTCATAGAAAAGAAACTTTTAGTTTGTGCAGTACATGGCAATAGGGTGAATATATATGATATTTATTATTTATTAATATGATTTTATTAATATGATATTATTATATGATTATTTATTATTTATTAAATGTGTGTATAAATTAATTTATTTATATGCAGTTATCTAAAGCTGAAAGAGAAAAAGTGATAACGAAGTTGACACAAATAGGCCTGCATTATGTTCTACAACCATTTGTAGATAAACCGAACTTAAATCATTGTAAATCCGAGGAAATAGTATCCTTCTACTATCACTATTCTTCAACTGAAAAAAAAATGACATATATGAAGGAAGTGACTACTACAGCCTTATTTTCTTTTGATAACTTTGAAGCCCAAGTAACTTTGACCAGACAGAAATGCGAGGTACCTGCAGGTGCCAACATCACTAGTGCAAATGACAGAAATAATGTGCATTCTATAAACAAAACAGTTCATCATAGTAACAATGACTACTTAGCTATAGACCAAAAAAATGTGCCCAATGCTCCACAAAAAAGTGCAGAAACTTCTAAATCATTACCATCCCCATCCAACACCAACAAAGGAACACAACAACAGTGTCCCTTCCTGTCTTCTACCTGTTCGTTTTGTTCCTTTGGTGAAAATGTACGCAGAGACGACAGCAATCAATGCTCGAAACACAAACAACATCACTTTTCTGCTACACAGCCAAAGGAACATAAAGAAGAAGAAAATTTGAGCGATCGAGAAAAAGACGAAGAATTACGTGAATCATACGTGAGTTCCAGTGCTGAAAATTCATCCTCTGATGAAAGCTTACATATATTGAAACGCTCTTCGACACATTTCAATCTGCAACAACAGGAGCTATTGAAACAGAATTATAAATCTGTTGTTGATCGAAATATATCCAGCACTTCATCCGACAGTGATGAGTATATTGAGCGTAAAAAGTTCGAAGAGAAATTCTTGTTTAATAACTTTAAAATAGTTCGTCCTAGTAGCAAATTTGATAAATTTTTTTTACCGGCAATACCTGAAGCTAGCAATGAAAGCAATAGTTCGAATAGTGGGAGCGGAGTTAAACCTCGCCGTAATTTATCGAAACGGCAAACCAAAACTCGCAACAAGAAATATTCCTCTGATGACTCCAATGATGATAGCGATAGCAGCATGGAATCATTGTCGACAAATGGTGAGAACAAAAACCTGTACACCAATGAAAGTTTTTATAACCTTCCCCCTAAGAACAACTTCAAAATGCAAATCGGATCTAAGTTGCCAGTAAATCACATCAATGATTCTGGATCTGATAGTAACCAGAAAAATATGAACTATTTCAGAGATGTCAAAACTGAAACACCCAGTGGTAACTTGCCGTCTTTTAATGTTTATAATACCGCGGCACAGTTTGCTGCTGAGAGAAAGAAACATGAGAAGAATAGCAATAGTGTGTATTCATCACCCGTCTCCAACAAATATAATGTAATTAATGATGAAACCGCTCAAACTAGCTCTGATTCTCAATATCCTATGCAAACTACGATAAGAGAACACACTGCTATAAAAAAATTTGACAATAACTTATCTGAAAACTCACCAGATAAGTCAATTTATAATACTACCTCTAAACCTTGCAACAACAGTAATAACTCCAGCAGTTGTAAACGAAAACTGGATGTATCTGAAGAAAATTCCACAACACGTGCTGTAAGAAAGATGCTAGTCCATTCGTCTTTGCAAAAAAGACCTGTTGTGGATTTACCCATGTGTTCAGAACAATTACATGCCAATGATAACGAAAAGAAGACTCATAACTATTTGGAAATTTCGAGTGATGATGATTCTAGAGCAAGTTTTGTAACAAGTGACACCAATATAAAATCAAATCACAATTATATATTACTAAATCTTAATACGAATTCGAAAAGTGCACTTGAATCCATTTTCCAAACAATAGCTGCAAATAAATACGATCTGAAGATCGATAGCAATACAGGGGAAGAAAGTTGTACACGGGATCACAACTTAACAAACCGCGAAACCGCTAAGTCATTACCTAATAATGACGAATTAAAAATTTTATCTTCCGCTAATAATAAGTGTTCCTCTAAGGAGTACAAAAATAATGAACCAAACCAATTTATTGCTAAAAATAACTTACCCAAAAATGAACAAATGGTAATACTAAAATCTAAAATTAGTGAAATGTTCTGTGACATAAATGGCGACTTTAGCACTCATTTCAAAGATGACCCTATGCATAAAAGCGACTTCGCAGCGTTCGATTCAATGAACAAATGTGTAGAATGTGTAGAAACCACTTCCACTGTCTCTGTTAGTTTGGACACAGAAGATGCTAAGCAGGAAGTTCAGCTTCCAAATACTGGATTTCAAAAACATTGTTTTTTCTACAATATAAATATTGCGAATAGTACAGATGTTGACGATTATGAGAGTGATCCTGAAGAAGATGAGGACAATATGCTGAAAAATTCGGCATCCCTCATTACTGATAAAGACGCTAAGTCGAACACTCAAATAGCACCAACAGATAATTCTTCCGCTCCTGATATACAATCAGTACAATATTCATCAGCATCCTTACCAATTAGAAATTTTGGTAAAACAATTTTTATCAAATTTAAACATTCCGATAATTCTGGTCGCGTTATCGAACTTCCGTTAATTAGCTTTCATTACAATAGCAGCAACGATTCGAACAGTACTACTGTTTCAGCAGAAGTGATTCCACAGAAGCCACATATAGTAAGATATCAGCTTGAAGAGTTGAAAAAATTTGCTTCCCTCTGTAATGTCAGGGATTTCATTATTAAAGTGACAGAGGAAGACATACTAGAATTATCGAAAAAATTCGAGGAAATGAAAATTACTCCACACAAGCATTCAAGAAAGTCTTCTCAAGAAATAAAAGAAACAAAATTGACTGAAGTTGAAAAGGGAAAAGTTGGTAACAGCGGTAACAGTGCTATCAGGGAGCCAGTTTCTATCTTACCATTTGCTTCAAAAAAACTTTCATGCTTCTATGAAACGTTAAATTTTACAGATTACGCTTCCTTTGACACTATATTGGAAAAGACAACTGCAGTGGAAATCGATTCAAGTGCTTTAGTAAAAACTGTAAGAGCGCGATATAGCAACTTACTTGGATTTGATTCAGTTAACACTCAAAAATATAGAACTAAAAAATCCAAAACGGACGATGTACCATCGTTACTGAAGAAATATGAAACTATAGCTGCAAATCAGACCAAATACTTGCGTAAGATTTCTGAAGTCAACAAATCGCAGCTTAAGCAATTGAGTGCCACTGAGGTAAGCTTTGTCATTATACTTAAGCTACACAAATTTTAATAAAAAAAACTTTCTTCAGAGCAAGCACAAGACAAGTGTATTTGGTAAGGAATATTTAAAGGGCGTGTCAAATAACAACTATAATTTTATAAAAGACTCTAAATTTAATGTCTATCCAAAACTAGTAAGAAGACATGCAGATAAAATTTTAATGAATGATTTTTAAAAAATTTGTATTTTATAGATTAATAGTTGGGCTATGGAGCAGACTTCTTCTTCAAATGTCGCCAAGGATGACACTGTAAATTATATATTTTGATTTACCAGAATAGGTTGAAATGATGAACTCTTTATTTCTCTTTAAGCGCAACAATTTGACTGACTCTGAAGATGAATTTGACTGGGATTTTAATTAGAATATTTAAACACAAACTTTTTTTATTCTCATTATTTATATATTTTATATGATTTTTTTTTTATTTTTATACTGCAATAAAAAAAAAATTTTTTACTTTTATACAAAAAAATTGGATGGTCGTTATTACGATTAAGAATCAATTATTACAATACTTGCTTCCCAGTCAACCTGGCATTCATATAACAAAACAAGTAAAGACCTTGTAAAATAATAAAAATACTACAACCACAAAGAATCTAGAGTACAAAGAACCGCCACTTTATGCAACCTCATGCAACAATGTTCGATCGAGTCACTACTGGTATGATTTTCAGTTCAAACTCATTGCAACCCACAATTGTTTTTATACGCCCATTTCTTTTGCCTAGATTCTTTTGCCTAGACTCTAGATTCTTTTCTACAACGTAGTTCTCTCTTGTCACTTGCGTGAATTTTAATATTCACTGAGTATATTGTAGAACCTTACAAAAAAAAGGAACTTACAGTTTAGAATTTTTTCTGTGACTACCCAGCCGTTAATTTTACATACGAAAATAATTTCGTATTAAAAAATATATTTTTAAATGCTACTAACACTTGCCAAATGTGTGAAGATAAGTTGGTGAAATATGTGTCCATCCATCGTAATAATAACAGAACCCACGTTCATTAGATACATATTCTACTCACAATCCGCTGCATAAAATATATAGCTCCATACGAGGGCTGCTATACATTGTGACCGAAAGGTTTTCGGAAGTTCTCATTTAAAATTCGCGCGCTGTATATTTTTCGATATTTTAAGTTTATGTAGTTTGGCAGCACTGTCCTTAATTACTATGCCAAAAATGAGCGCGATCTGTCAGACAGTTCGTTTACGGCAGCTGTTGAAACCAGTTCACCTCAGTAGTGCGTTGCGAAAAAAACAATGGAAAAAAATATTGAACAAAGAGTTTGCATCAAATTTTGTTTTTCGAACGAAATTTCGTGTGCAGAATCGTTGCGAATGCTACAAAAGGCTTATGGGGAATCAGTTTTATCGAAAACTCAAGTTTATGAGTGGTACAAAGCCTTTCAGGACTGTCGTACGACCGTCGAAGACATGCCGCGTTCTGGACGACCTTCGACCTCTACCACCGACGAAAACATTGAAAAGGCAAAGGAAATCGTGTTCAAAAATCCTCATGTGAGTGTTAGAGAGATAGCACGAGAGCTAGGCATCGGTCGTGAGATGGCTCGTTTGATTTTGGTGGACAATTTGTGTATGCGACGTGTCAACGCCCGGCTTGTTCCGATTCACCTCAATTTGTTCAACATTATCAACGATTTTAAGGCCAAACATTCAATAAATACCATCGAACAGCCACCGTATTCACCTGATCTTGCACCGTGTGACTTTTTCCTGTTTCCCAACCTCAAATTACCACTCAGAGGAACGCGTTTTGAATCCATAGAAGACGTAAAACAGAATTCGCAGAGGGAACTCAAAGCCATACCGGAAAGCGCCTATAAAAAATTTGTGATTGAAAAACGTGCATTGTATCGCTTCTAAGAGCTATTTTGAAGGAGATAAAATAAATATTGATGAAGATTAAGAATTTTGCGTTTGTACATTGTGACCGGAAACTTTTCGGTCACAATGTATATGTATTTCTGGCCTAATAATGAAAATGCGAATATTTATCATCAAAAATTGTTTTATTGTTTTTCATTTGTCGAAGCACTTTTTCCACTCCGATTAAGACACCTCCAAAACATGGTTTTTGAACGCTTCAACAGCATCTTCTGGCGACGAAAATCGTTGACCACGCAATTTTTTCTTAATGCGCGGGAAAAAAAAGAAGTCCATGGATGATAAGTAAGTACCGGTCAATTCGACGTTTTGGCTGGTCCGATGTGTGAGAGTTCGCGTTGTCATGGTAAACAATGATTCGTCTTCTCTTGTTCGTTTTTCGAATTTCTCCGAAAACTTCAGGCAAACAAATTGTGGTGTACCACTCAGAAGTGACCTTCCTTCTTTGCTCAAGCGGAAAAGTCGCAGTCGCCACATGACCAGTTTTGCCGAAGAAACAGGCGACCATTTGCTTGGAAGTGCTTCTTCCACGAACAACTTTCGTTGGATTTGGCTCGTCTTCGAAGACCCACACGAACGATTGTTGTTTTGTTTCGGGCTCATATGCATAGATCCATGATTCGTCACCTGTGACGTTCTTATAAACACCGCGAATATATTTTTTCAACATTTCTTTGTGCGGATTCCAACGAGAACAAACAATTTTTACGGTCAGGTGTTCATGTAATATCTAATGTATGCTGGTGGGAGAAATGTCCAAGGATGCCTCTATCTCACGGTATGTCACATGAAAAAAATGTTGTGAAAAATGATCGCACGAAAATGTTCACGTGTTAATTCCATTTTTTGGCCGAGATGAGTTTTCAAGTCTCTGTAAATAAAACAATTCACAATTAAATGACAACACGTTCTGAGTTATGTTATGCTAAAAAGTGTCAACGTTTCCAATGGAAATGTTAGATTGCACCTGGCAACACTAAGGTTGCCTAGGCCAGAAATATATATAGCAGCCCCCGTATAAAGTGAAAGATGTTTTATTACTAAGGAACAAGGATAGCAGCTCTACAACTTGCAGCTATTTAAAAGCGTTGGCAGCACTGGATTTTCTTTTGTGAATATATATTGAAAAAAGTTAGAGTTCATACCTATATATATTGCTGAAATTAAGTTTTCGAACAGTTGAAACAGTCCAAAACAAACAGAAACCGGTTTTTATAAAAAAAATCGGGGGATTTCAATCGGGGGTTTTCAATCGGGGGAATTAGTCTATTGTGTCCAAACATAAAAGAATACATGTGACTTACTATGAAATAACAGCTACAAAAGCAGTGGTTGTGAACAATCGATCAAAGCAGAAAGTGAAAAAGAAACTTCCATTGCTAGCTAACAAACAGTATCGAAGATTTAGGTGTACTAGATTAGTTTTAGGTTGTAAAACTATATGTCAATAAAAGTTCGACCAAATCGGAATTATAAGGCTTGTAAGAGTTATTGAAAAATTGTTTTTTTTAATTCACATTTCAAAAAATTTATATTCAGACTTTTGCTTCTTCCTGGAATTCAAGTATCTTTTTCATACTTGAATGAAGTACCCCATTGCATCGGGTTGTTGGTAATGGTTGTAACACTTTCTCTAATAGCTTGCAGTAAATTGCAATATTTATAATCTATTGTAGAATAAGTAATATGAGAAAGTTGAGTCGTTAAGTGAGTTTTTTCTAGTTTTTGCGCTAGTATTTTCTATCCTCATTCTAAGTTAAGAATTCCCCAGACTTGAAAATACAAATGTGTATGCTCCAATTGTTTGAAGAGCAGCAAATGTTTATTGTTGTCTATAAATCCCTTCATATGTTTTGATAGTGTCATGCATATGAGTGCATTTGCAAACGGAAGGAAACTGCAGTCAAAACTTTCGATTCACTTATTTCAATTTGAAAGGAATTTGGTGTTGCAGCAAATTGGATGAATTTTTTCTTGAACTTCGTAACAATTTTATTACCTTATTTTGGTTACAAAAACACCAACAATAAGCAAAACAACCAAGCAAAGTTAAGGTGCAAGTAACAAATGCGTCTATGATTGCGGGAACGGAACGGTTCGGCGGCAACTTTCCAACTCTCAAGACAAAGTTTTACCACTCTCTCGATTTTTCGCTAAATTGTGTATATTTTTTGTAGTTTTTGTTCTTCGAAATGCAATCGTTTACGCAAAAATACTTGAAAATCATTTAAATTTAATGCCAAACAGTTGAAAAGAAGTTTGTAATACAAATAGCATTACTTATCTGTATGTGAGAGTAACTCAGTCCATCAGATGTAAGGCTAAGCATGGAATACGATTAAGGAGTCGCAAATGCGTATTCCATTTTATTAAAGCTAGTCCACAAATATACATTTACTCCTCAATTTAATATATTAACCAACATACTAGAGTAAAACATTTTCCTAATCTCCTTAGTCAGAATCCAAAATTGCAGTATTAATAGAAAGTACCTATTACCTATTGAATCAAATTAGTCCTCGGAACTATTTATAATGTTCATCTATTACTGCAGTAGTGAATCATTGCAACAAAAATAGAAGTATCAAGAAAGTTGTATATATATATATATTTATATATATATTTTTTGCTTTTTCCCGTGAACACTAAAATTGCACTGATAATAAGTCAGATGAATAAACGGAATAGTGGATATGCTCTAAACGCAGTTTATAAAGTATAGAAATGCCGACATCCGAAATGTATGTCAATGCAATGACTCGGTAAAACAAAACTATTTTCTTCTATAAATGGAAGAATTTGTCATTAGATATGTCGCTGAACTTATTCAGCAATATTACAAAATATTGCTTCAGCCATCATGCTTAAATAAATAGTAGCCATGAAATTTAATGATGACATATGGTGATATAATCCAAGGTTTTAATTATCATCGCATTTCATCCACAAACTAACATTATCTTTTTTAAAGTTTTTTAATTGAATCTTAGAAAGTGATTGCATTTTTTGTCCACGATTATGAAGTCCTTTGGTCCATGATTCTAATCTCAGCATCCTAATTTTAATCGGACCATTATCCAATACCGTTTGACATACTGTAACAATGTTTTCATATACATCGCTGTTAGTTTTCAGGTATCAATATGTTTCAAAAAAGATATTTATTAAATAAACTGGTGCAATCATGTTTGAATTCCGCCACTATTAACTATTTTTCATTTTATAAACACTACTTCAGCCGATTAAAAAAATTAGATAAAACTAAATTAATGATAAAATTTACTGATGATATTAAAATTGTTTTTAGGCCTTGTTCCTGATATCAAAAATAAAGTTATTTTTTTCGTAGCTAACCTATACAGGAATAATCTTCTAAAGATAAAAGAAGTCGTTCCGTTTGCATGCTTGATTCTTTGAGTCATATATGAATACGGACGAGAGATACCCTTAATCCTCAATACTGAAACTTAAAAAACTCTGTGGTGCGACCAAATAAGGTGTTTCTCATTCATATGTTTTATGTTCAGGAAGAAAACTTTTCGAAAAAAGCTAAAATATATAATGTAAAAAACAGATGAACTAGCCCGAAAGGAGGCGGCCTCATATTATATTTGGCCACAACCATTCTGCGTTCCTTCATGGAGTTTTTTAAAACTTAAAATTAATGAGTGGCTTGAAAGAGCAGCTCAGACTGATTGGGATAATACAATTGCCTGCAGACAAGCTAAAAAATCCATGCCGTATCGATCAATGCCAAAAATAGGGAGCTTCTTATGCTGAACAGAAAAGACATTCGACTTGGTGTAGGGTTTCTCACAGGACACTGCGGAGTTAAAAAGCATCTATCAAACCTAGGTAATACTAGAGGCGATAGCTGCAGACTTTGTTGCGAAGAAGAGGAAACAGCAGAACACATTCTGTGTCACTGTGAGGGTCTTGCCAGAGTCAGACTTCGGTACTTGTCCATTAGGCAACATCTCTTCGAAGAAAATAATGGCGTTCTTAACTGCTACTCGTCTATGGAACTGAAGTGGGTATGTCACAATAATTCTCAAAGGATGCAGTGACGTGGTGACAAGTTCCCAACCCATCTTAAAATCTAATCTAATCTTATGTTAAATTATATTTGTATATTATCGACCATATAAAGATTCCATAATATTGTTGATTCAGTTTATTGACTATATTTCTGAGATCACAGTATACAGACAGTCATATGACGAATGGTCACAGTAATCGTTCGTTTTCGTCATAATTTCGTTTTAGCTCTTATTTTCAACTTTTTTATTTAATTTCAAACATAAACAATTTTAAATTTGACGTCACCATGACTCTATGCATAACATAACCATGGCAAAAATATTATTAATGAAATATATAGAATATATACAAAAAGAAATCTTAAACCTATAAAGCTTTCACATCACAAACATTTCGAAAAAAACTCCTTGAATATGTAGAGAATTATGATTCGCATATATGCTGTTGGGAGGCTGCTATTTGCTTAGTACTTTGCTGTGGTCTACTCGTTGTACTGCTGGAACTTAAGAAATATTTATCAACTCCGAGCATCGGTGCTTCAATTGCTAAATATGCAATAGTTGAGATCATCATAGTAATGCCAAAATTGCTCCAGAAATTGAGTATCTATGAAATAAATAGCAGATAAGCAGATAAGCAGTATGTACTTAAGTAGAATTGTACATATATATATGTTATATATATATATTTATATAAATGATACTATCTTACCAAGTCATAATTGGAAAAGTATGTATTGGTTTTGAGGCGTCCAGTGTTCACCATTATGATGACCAAATGCCATATATACATGCAATAGGAAAGCTTAGAAATTGGTTGCCAGAAGCCGAGTGAAAGAAATTTGTTTACAATACCGCCATTTCCATTTACACAGACAAACACAATCCAGCAGAGACCTAAGGACCATGCGACATGACTTAAAGATAAGTAGAAAGCACCTTCTAATGGTGAAATCGGTGGCGCATCTGCCTGTGCATATCCATAAAGACAGAATATAACTGTCAAAAGTAATGACAGCGACGTCAACCATCCAAACATAAGCCAAGTCTATACATATATGTAAATCAGTTTTATTTCATCAACCAAACTGAAAAATAATATATTTTATTTACCCTAGACAACTCGTGACGCCTGCCTTTATTGTTATACAAATAATAACCAAACATAATGCCAATGAGCCATGGCGAGACCCTAGAATGTGTTGAGTAGTAAGTTTTTTTTAACATTTCCTGATCAGTTCCTAAATTGCTAAAGTAAAAACAAATTTAATGATTTTTTATTTTAAATAATGTTTAAAATAAAAAATAAGAAGTCTCTGTTTACCCAATATTATCGAAAACAATCAGTTTATTAACCAACACAATGCTGAAGAGGCATCCAACCATCAATAAGCCAAATATAGCTACTGCTGCCAAACCGCGCTTATGCCATTTCCATATAATGAACAAGAATATAGGTGATATAAAGTAAAACTGTGTATCCGCAGCTAAATACCAAGCATGTCCAAAACACTGGAAATATCTGTTAATAAAAAGCTGCAAGCTTCTTTGTTTTGGTATTCACCATTTTTCCAGCAGCAGCATAATTTTGCACATAAAGTAATGTGGCCCACCATGTCTCATCACAGAGCTTATATGCGCCGGTTATGTTCTGCCATATAGGTCCCTCGCCCATCAAACGGTAAAATGTCATAAAGAAGAGCACAGCCAAGGCGAGCACAGGAGTTAACCGCAAGTACCGGTGTAACCACATGAGAGGCACATTAAGTTTACCCTTTGTTCTGTGGTAAAAATAATGAAAAGCGTTATCCTGTGCGATAGGCACGGAAATTAATATTACTTACTTTTCCATACTACGAAAAGATACTAAAGCTACCAACAATCCACTGAGGAAGAAAAAGGTGTCAACACTTATAGAGGCTCTTTGTAGTACCATTGAATAAACGCTTTGAAACCACTGTGAAAAATTAAAAGTGAGATATTAGAGAGAGTAAAAATATGTTTTTATTGCTTTTTGCACTCACATTTCTCAGTTCCACAGCATTAATATTGGGAGAATATGTCATCATCAGATAGCAATGCAGATATATAATCCACACAATCGACAGAGAACGTATACCATGCAGGCAAGGTATAACACTAGGCGAGTTTGTATGAGAACTTATATGGAAAAGTTGGCGAGTATTTGAGATTAGTGAGAATGAGAGTAATAAAGGATGCGACTTTTCTAATAAAAAAAAAGTGTGAAATATTAATATTAATTTCCTAATATCAGATTATATATTACATAAAGGTAAGATGAGATACAATTATAATATTTTTGACTATGTATAATACTTACTACCAAATTTGTGTGTAATGTATTCGTTAACTGTGCTGAGGCATACCAGAAATCCAACACTGCAGAAAACTCCACTTAAAATGATATAATATTATTTTAATTTAGTCAAGACTTCATAAAGTTCAAATAAATAAAATAGATGGCTAATATGTTTTAAATTTTCGGAATGAACACTTTCAATTCTTCAACCAAAAACTAAAAGATACTTATTATATAGAATATATTATAGAATATTATATTATAGATTATAGAATATGATTATAAGCCATAAACTTCTGTGTTGTAAATACGCAAATATTGAAAGGTTTCCATTTAAGTTAATATAAAAATATTAGATTTCTATTTCAATTTTGATATTTTCCTAAACAATATCAATACAATTGAGTATTTGAATAAGACAGACCATAAGACTTAACTTGAGAAATATTGAATTCATCGCTTAAAATGAAAAAAAATGTACAGATATGAAAGAAATGTACTATTATTAATTAAAACCTCAAATTATATTGGTCAAATAATACGACAAAATTTTGAGTACTTAAATTATAACTCAACAAAATAGTTAAATTGTTACAAAAAAAAACAGCGTCTACATGTCTAATAGCCTATTCACACAGCACAAGTAATTGTGATTTAAATTGTAATGTTGGTCAATCGGTTCACTTCGTTAAAAACCTATTCGCTATTCACTCGCAAATCATACTTTTATCTTAATTTTATTCGTCATAATTGTTGCAAAAATATTTTGTTTAGTTTATGAAAACTATTCACAATATCGCCACATAATTCTATTATTAAAAATTATACAATTTATTTCAATTTGATTATTCATGAATTAAAATTAAATCGTGAGTTCAGTTACCCGAATTTGCGTAGAATTAAATTTTTAAAGAAGAGCATAAAATTGAAATTTTCAATTTAGTATGAACTGCGTGTGAATAGGCTTTAACGCAAAACTTGGTTTGGAAGGATAAGCCAAATTTTTAAATTGCAGCAGAGATAATATACAAAAGAACATTACATCCTAAGGAATTATAGATATTTTATAGAATACATTTCTAAATAGGTTTTTTTTTTTGTACTGGTTGCATTATATATGATATAATAACTTAAAATGTGTTAAATAAAACTAACGTCCGTTGCTTTAAAAAATAAATCATTTGTTTGAAAAATTAAATAATTTTTCGACATCTTCTATTTATTTATGTACTTCTGACTGCATACGTATTGTTTTTGCCAAATAATTTTATTATCAATTTTTTACAGATTAGATTGTATAGGCGTAAATACAAAGGTAACTACTTCCTGAGCCCATAGAGATATGTATTCCATTAGAAACGCCTACTTTGAAAGAATTAAAACAAAAATTAATTTTTGATTGGCTTAAGCAACACACCAACCCAAGCATCTCAAAATTTCTCCGAATTAAAAATGTGTTTTTTAGAGAGTGAGATTCGTGAAAATTCTGCTTTAAATACTTAAATCACATTGATTCATTTCATCTGAAATCACCCAAACGTTTCTAGGTTTATCTACAAAAATGGCACTACATATATAGTATACACAACTACATATACTCCAAAAAGTTGAGATCATCCTTTAAATCAAGCATATGTTTACTTATCATTTTCTGTAGAATATGATTATAGCTGGATATACCAATATTTTGAAAGTTTCATTTCTGCTCTTTTAAGATTCAGAATCATAACCTCTGAATATGACAATCAACTCCATCTCGCTTGAGCTAAAGTTTGAAGCATATACATATATCTTTTTTTAGCAACATACTCCACATTCTTTTACTTAAATTGAACTTACAATAGATTAGATAGATAGATAGATTAGATAGATAAAATAGATAGATTGCAATCTTTCTTAAACTTTCAATCAAGAATTTCCATCTAATTTTTTATTGTTATTCGTTATTTTCAACTTTTTTTTCTTTATATGCCTTCAATTTGTATTTAATTTTGCGTCTCTTGTGTTGTATCTACTGGAGACAAGAAAAAGGAATTTAGTGCTAGTCACTTATCATATTGAATTATTTTTACATCCTTAGAAAGGTCCCTACTTCTAAGAAGAAGATAAAAAAATCGACTTAAACTCTAGTCTTAAGACACATACAAAATATAATCTATATATATATATCTAAGTATATCCATCTTAGCATATAATCTATAGAGCTAACACTTATCAATAGCCATTCTTTGTTCGTTCAGGTGAAATGTCTGTACAAAAAATCCACTAATCTAAAAATTTTGTTCATTCAAGAAAGAAGTCCGTTCAATAGAAACGTTAGGAGTGTTTGCACAACACATGTATTCACACAATTACAATTACTTTGATCGTTTTTAAAATATTTCATCTCCAACATATAATGATAAAGAAAAAGTTTATTAGTCCTGAACCTTCTTCTCGGCTAGGAAGTATTTGATAAGTTAAAATTGACTTAAACAGAATTTGGCCTATTAATGCCCGACAACTGATATCCTATTAAATTACTAGAAGGCAACTGAACAAGTACTGAATTTAAGCAATCTATTGATGCAGTATGCAATATTTTTGAGACTTTATAATTCGGGGATCATGATAATCCGATCACCCCATTTATTTACATTGCAATTTTTATAATCCAAACACAAAGAACGACGATTCATATCATATTTTCTGTTGTATAATTTCTATGTATCTGAACAATTTAATCTAATATTTGCCTGCTTTAGTTACAACATAGCTTTTAGTATGTACGTTTTTTGGAAGTTTCCTTGAAAAAACAATAGATGTGCATGCGGTATTCATATAAAACGCTATTAGTTCAACAAAGCATCCGAATAATATTTGGAACATACTTCTACAGATTATCGGAAGCATACTGAATATATGTATATAGCTTAATCATATTCGCGTAGTAAAAAGTTATTAGTGATACTTACAGAGCCACCCAATCCAAAGTGGTAAACACATCACCACCTTGTACCTTGCAATCTTTTTCGCTGATGCTTAGCTGAATATCTGAGAAGTGTGCTTTAAATACTTCATTAAATTTCTCGGCGGTACATGTTTGTGGTATGCAAATTCCTACATTGACATTTGTCTTATTTCTGAAACCTTCTTTGGTGATAAATCTGACGTTAGATAGACAGTATTTACCAGTGATGCTTTCGTCTTTATCGAGCGTGGCACTTATACTGAGGCACTCACCAAAATTGCCCATTTCAACTGTGTTGCCATACAAAATACCGGCCGGAACTTTGCCCCACGCATCAATAACTAAAAATATTAATTAAATATTAATATTATTATTGATAATTATTATTAAATTAATATTAATATTAATAAATAAATTTTTAAGTTATTTTTTTTTTAAATAATTTTTTTTTTTTGAGAAATTTAACAAATTAGCACTATGCAAATTTGCTGGATTTAAAATGAATTTAAATTGATTTTTTTAATTGTTTTAATTTTTTTAATTTTTTTAATTTTATATTTTACTAAAAATTAAATACCCAAAGGCATTGTAAAGTTTCTTCGACCGCACATCACTTTCACTTACACTTGAAAGCCCAAACTTCATCGCGCTCTATACCGTTGAGCACTTCACGCAGGTCAGTTAGGCAGGCGGTATCTGCTGTTTTGTAGGCCCGCGACTGCGTATGCGTACTCAGACCGAAACTCGAATTCAGATTTGGATACGAATCGAAAGTGAAATTTTTTTGAATTTTTTTTATCAACTCGTAACCGAAATTACTGACGGGCGCATCTGCGTTGCAAAACTGGTAAAAAAACCCCACGAAAATCAAGAAATGCGTACAATTTTTAATATATTTTGTAGATAACATTTTTAAAAAGTCGAAATTTCTTCTCAATTTGATTTGCAATTATTCCAAAACTTTACCACGATACGATTAAATCAAAAAAAAATTTTATTTTTGAAAAAATTTTAAATTTGGAACATTTGCGCGCTCTTCCTACCCTCAGTAGTTTTGTTGGCGGTTTGTTAACGTTTGAATTATTTTAAAGTTTCGTTAATATTTTTATACCTAAAACAATAAAACATTAACAACACTATTAACAACAACAAAAATGTATTGTACAATAAGAGCTCGTAATCATTATCAATCCAACACAATTTATCAGTGGGAAAACAATGAAATCTTCAGATAACTTTTGATACGTTGAGCATTACTCAACTCAGCGGAGGCAGACGGTGTGTTTAGATCTTTAGTAGCAATAGCTTATACTCTCCTACACATATATCTATATATATATATACTAAGCTAACTTATAATAACAATGATAACAATAACAACAACAACTACTAATAATTTGGACTTTTTTTTTAATGAACGTTCCATATAGTAAACCAAATAATTATTGTAAATAATTTGTTAATAATTTTGTTTTGCTATGCGCCAGTGTTGTTGTTGATTTATTTATTGTATATATGCTCTTTGTTCTCTCCCTCTCCACTTATTAATTAGTTTAATAATTTGCGTTAACAATAGAACATTCTTGTTTTGATTCTGAGTGTAGCTAACACTTATTAGTAGTAGCTTCGGCTCGTTGCAGAGTAGAGACTGACGAGTGGCGAGTAACTAGCGGTGAGTGGCGAGCGGCGAGTGGCAAGTATGTTATTAAACAGTTCAGAACAGGTGAAATCTGTTTGCTAGGGGTGTGTTGAAAGGATGAAAACTTGTTGCCATATGCATAATCAGCGATAATGCAAATATTAGAGAAACTTTGAAAACTTGTGTGAAGTTCAATGCATTCTTTCAATATAGAATTTAACATTTTTTATATTGTCTAACGATGCGACCTTGAAAAGTTATTTGGTGATAGCACAATTCCCGGTTTGAGAGGTGTATTTAAGAACATAAGCACATGTGGCTGGAGTAGTGCAATAACCCATTGTTTTTAACAAAATTAGTTATCGACGTCATTTTTAATACAAAAAGAAAAGCAAATAAGGTGAAGTTATGTTCTTTATCTGAATAAAATCAGACTGTCATATAGATTCACCTGTACTGTTACTTGCATCATATGAAAAAATTAGTCCGGATCTTATTTAATTAAGTTTAATAGGAATTTTTTAAGAAAATCTCGAAAAAGAAACAATCTAAATCCTTAAATCTCTTAATCGATGTTCTAAATCTACAATACTATATATAATATTTTTAAGAATGTAACTTATTGCGCATATAAGAATTGTGGCAAACATTTATATCTGGTGATACAAAATGACATTTTATTCAACTGCAGAATAAAGTTCTATAGCATAGACTGTAATTTTTATAAAATCCGATTTTAAGAAGATTTCGTATTTCGTGCTTATTAACAGAGTTTAGAGAATTTTACGGTATAACGTGTATTTTAATTGATTACTTATTAAACTAAAAAGTCGATTTCATTATTTTCTAATCAACAGTTTTACGCTTAAAGATCCAATATATTTTTATATTTAATTGATATATTAAAGTTATAACATTTTTAATTTTTTTTTTTATGTAAACATCATTATTTCTTCGTTTTTAACTTAAAGATCCAACATATTTTTATATTTAAATGATATATTTATTTTTGGATAAACATCATTATTTCTTCGTTTTTTCTTCTTCGTTAAAAAAATTCATTATTTTGCGTCCAAACCTCCATTCATCGAGCTAATTGGAGTTTTGTCGCCGTAATTACTTTCATGGTCCAGAATTACTTTCATGTTCAAGAACCCATGCCCTCAGCGTATTACCTGTTGACAATACCTGTACACAGTGGTGTCTAACCACTGGAAATTTTTTGTACCAAAGTTTATTCTAAGCTCTGCAAATTACATATTTTGGAATAACTTGCCTACATACAACAAAATAAATCAAATTTAATAATTAGATAAATAAAAATAAATAAGAATAAATAAAAAATAAAAATATAAATAAAAATTAATATGTATATGTAAATATATAAAGAGCCAAATATATATATTAATTTGTAAATAAAAAGGTACATTAAAAAATAAGCAATCAAATAAATATATAATTAAATAAATAGCTAATTAAATAAATATATAATGTAATAAATAGGTAATTAAATAAACAATTAAATATGATCAAACATTATGTCTGTCCGCATCTGTTTTCCATATCAAGGAAATAGTGGATAGATATTTGAAGACCGTGCACAAGTGCATGTGCCCAAGGGTTTATCACAGACGCGTTTCGACAGGGAACCACCGTATTGTCAACAGAATGACTGAATGAAAAACATGTCTAAAAACCGTAATTCCATCTGTTGATTGATTAATGATACCAACAATTATAATATTAATAAATAAAAATGGATATAATAATGTACTGAGAGCTTAAATAAATATAATGAGATTAAAAAACAATCAAAAATAATGTACTAAGACTATTAATAAATAATATAATGAAATCAGAAATAGAGGATAAAAAACGAGAAATAATAATAACTTCTTATTTTACGAGACTATGGCTGTCTGCATAAAATGGCCCTAAATTAAATAGTTCCATCTATTTTGTTTAATATTTAAATTCCACACTTTTTTTTAATTTTCCATATTAAAAACAAGCTTATCTTTGTGAATAAACTATTGGAACTGCTTATATGAATTTTGTTTCACAATTAGAACTTTAACAAGAACTTTAACATAACGAAATTTCGTCTGTAATAAACAATAATAATAAAAATATTAAATTAATTTTAAAATATGCTAAAATGGTAATGAAAGAAATTTTAAGAAAGATAGTGTTGTGATAGATGCTTCTCAAGTTTTTCAAGTCTTTAATGGCAACATACATTTCAATCAGCAGAAGCTATGCTGAAATAAATCCAGCATATAATAAATCCAGCCCTGACTATGTAATTAGTTTTGGAATTAAATGTGACAAGAGGTAGCTTTCACCCTTCGACAAGATGTATTATAACAGTATATATCGAAAATTGTCAGATGTTGAAATAAAACTCTATTAGAAAGTGTTAAATAAAATGCTAACATACCTTTTTAACATATTAATAAATGCATTTAACACAGTAGATATTATTTAAGAAGAAATTCCATGATAAATGCAATTCGCAAAGCAATTTTAGACACACTAAAACATTGGTGAACCAGCCGAAGTAAACGATCTTCGAAGCCATGCAAAGCTATTCATTGGTGAGGGAAACGTGCATGTTCCCGTTATCGAAATAATTCCGCTCATGAATCGAAAAGTGTTTGACCGATAAAAATTCGCAAACTCTTATCTTTGCTTAGAAGCGTGAATTGGAATAATTTTCTAATGTATTGACTTTTTGATAAATTTTGATTTTATGTAATTTTAGTGATTTTATTGACTCAAGTAGTTTTTTATACAAGTATAGGAAATGTAAATGTAGGATTTCCTTATCGAACACTTTTATGAGATTTACCACTTAAGTAAAATCAAAATAAATTGTGAATGACTGCATATCGATCAAATTGAATACTATTTGCTCTTAAAGGGTTAAAATTCCAACAAGTAACCTAATTTGATTTGCTTGATTTTAGAAATCGTTCCGATGCAAAGTTTTTAACTAAATACAAGTAAATTACCGATATCCATAGTGCTATATATATTGATAGATCAATAGATAAACCGACAACAATTTTTTAACATTAATAAAATCTTGAAATAACTGAAACATCGGATATTAAAAGTACCTGAAAATTTAAATGGTTTTATTTGGTACTCTGGGTATACCCCACACAGACTACAACCGCAAAAGCAACTGCATAAGTCCCCACAGTTGTATAAAGTTCTAGCTCAACTTTTACGGCTACCTCTGTGGTTGCCTCAAAATTATTGTTCAGTTATTAAATGTAGTTGTCATCTAAATGGGGCATAAGTTTTTTTTATGTATAATACATTACTACTACTACTAACTATAACGCTTAAAAGTATTGTATTTTCGTGCCTCTATGTATGCTCTCTATGTATGTTAGTCGTTAATATCACAATTTTTTCTATGTTTCGTTCTATTACTTTATAAATTTTAAATAAAAATACAATAAGTAACGAACTCAGTTGGTCTATTTTGGTAGCACTACTTATAGTAACCGATTTTTAGGTTTTCACTGAAATTGAATACTTAAGTTTTTCCCGATTTTCCCGCTCTCTCACAAATCTTCCGGATGCAATTAATTGATGTTGGGCTATTTGTTTGGCGATACAACTAGTTTCTTCGTTGCCATCGTATCCTTTACATCCAGGAACCCACCATAAAGTGACGCCGTTGCTTTGTCCAACTGCTTTGCTCAATAATAGGCAAGTAATCAGCTCATGCCAAAGTATTCTAACAGAGCTTACAGCCAGAAAGGCCATTTAAATGTCGGCCATGATCTAGATTGTTGCATGATCATTTGTGCTTTTCCGCAGATATTTGCGAGCATAATATCATCGTATTTCGAAGACTTTATATGACAGCAAAGTAATATTTTTCATTCTAGCTGGGACACAATTTTCTTCGATTGCTTTTACAATTTTCGTTACATTTTCATTTCTTCAAATGTCTTTTGTGCTGAAGCCATAACCAGAAGTCAGACGAAAATTACTATACTGTTTAATTTACTGTATTATACTTTTTCAACAATCAACTCTTATGTTAATGTAATTCATTTTTTATCTATAATTTAACTTTAAATATAATTTAATTTATTTAATGACAAATAACTACCTAAGAAACTTTTTGAAGAATCATGTATCTGAGTTGATAGTTTTTTAAGGTTTGCATTTTCAGAACCTCTGATGTGATACAGCAACCACATTTTAAAACTTGACGGTTTTGAGAGCCCAACGGAAATCCATGTTTTCCAGATACCAGACTTTAGATCCTATTCAGAAACTTTCTTAAAAAATGTCTTCTGCGCATATTTCAAACTGACTACCTAACTCGTTGCTAATTTGACATTAAACCAAACGATCTTTGCTATTCCACTTTTATTTGGTCTAAAGTACTTTGTGATATCTGTTGTAAATATTTTATTCCTGAGTTGA